TAACTGTTTAGTTACCATCATTGTTACCCTTAAATTTTCCTTACAAAGCACAATGTTAATCTGCTTTGTTATGCATATTACTTGTGAACAATATTAATGCTTACACATTAGATATCGAGTAAATTAAATAAAAATACGAACTGTATAAGGTTGTAATGCTGCCGTACAAAAACGGCTATGTTTCTGTAATTTATTTGTGACTTATGAATTATCATTAAATCACATGTTGCCTTGTCTTCGATAACACAAAATAAGCGTTCCGCGCGATACCTGCCGAAATTATCGCCAATTATTGTTATCTTGCAATTAGTTTTGGATCTAATGATATTTGCGCAATGAGCAAAGAAAAAGATGAAATAACTGTTTATTATTCGTATGAAAAAAAATGTAGAAAAGAATTAACAAAACGCAAATATAAAGACATGGAATACTATTTGTTTTAAATAACAAATGAGACGTGATACAACAGTCGAGGGTTGATAGATACTCTGCCTTCAAGTAAACCAATTGTAAGAGACGTCTGCTGTTTTGCAAATAATATTAAATGGCGCTAGGAATAATTCCTTACCCCAGCAACTCGCACATTCCGCAAGCGTGTTGCGCGAGTGTCAGAAATACAACGAAACAGGCGACATAAACCACAGGTACAATGGTAATCGCAAGACACGTATAGGTTCGCATCAGATAAAAGTGTCGCTCGCCAAAGAGGTGAGTATTAAAGGGTTGCACCCGCGGGCGAGATTCGTTCATAGGCGATATAATATCGAGAATTTCCGGTGTGAAGATCCATGTGGTGTATCCCCACGTAAATACCAACACAAGGACTAAAACATTCGGTAATCATAAGTTTATTAATATAATTTTTAACAATGACCTTGACCTTGGCATATGTTGTCAAGGTTACCCTCCTGAGTAACCCTCAGAAGGTTTTAGCCGTTGTTTGTTAAAAAGTTATTATAAAAACAATGTTGACCAATTATATGTAATTTTCAGACACAAATATTAAAAATTTTGAAAAATGTTTTAAACAAAAGTTGCAGATCTCTTTGAAATAAACATTTTATGTTCTATTCATTTTTACTATACGAGTGATAGTTTTCGAGAAAATTGATGGACTCTAAATCTGATATCTGTCCTCTCATCTAAGCATGTGCTTTATAGTACATATACGATTCCATATGGATTTGCGACTTTTCATGTGAAGCGAGATCCACTCCACACCTCGGACATAGTTTGGGTTAGGTTTGGGTTAGGTTATATCTTAACAAAGTGGAGCTCCCCGCAGGGGGGGCGGAACATACTGTCTCCACGCATGTACTTCCGCCGTTGTACTGTTCCACATGGGTTTGCAACTTTCCACGTGAAACGAGATCCACTCCCCCTCCCCGAAGGGGAGCGGAACATACTGTCTCCACGTATACATTTTTCTACCTACATATAAGTCACTCCCCTCCACCAAATGTAGATGGAAAAATGTATGCGTGAAGAGAGTGTGTTCCGCCCCCCCTTCGGGGAGGCTCCACTTCGTTAAAAATAACCCTACCCACTCTATGTCAGAGGTGTGGAATGGATCTCGCTTCACGTGGAAAGTCGCAAACCCATGTGGAACAGTACAACGGTGGAAGTGGATGCTTCGTCGTACTGTTCCACATGGGTTTGCGACTTTCCACGTGAAGCGAGATCCGCACCACACCTCGGACATAGTGTGGGTAGGGTTATATTTTAATAAGGCGGAGCCCCCCGAAGGGGGGGGGCAGAACATACTCTCTCCATGCATGTACTTCCATGACGTACGACAGATGGAGATGGGAGGAGAGATATAAGATTTAGAGTCCATCATTTTTTTCGAAAATTATTACTCGCACAGTAAAAATGAATAGAACATAAAATGTTTATTTCAAAGAGATCTACAACTTTTGTTTAAAACATTTTTCAAAATTTTTAATATTTGTGTCTGAAAATTACATATAATTCAACATTGTTTTTATAATAACTTTTTAACAAACAACGAGCGACGGCTAAAACCTTCTGAGGGTTACTCAAGAGGGTAACCTTGACAATATATGTCAAGGTCAAGGTCATCGGAGCTGACTCCCCTATAGTGAATATTTACCCAAAGCTGTACGTGCGCGTGTGTATAAAAGCAATGAAGTATGAATGCAATGATGTAGTAGATATTAGTTGTCTACGTGCTGTACAGTGGATATTTTTCACAAGTATATTACAAAAGTTATAAGATTAACGATAGTTATCGAACATATATCAAAAATAAAACTCAATTTTCACTATACATAAGTATTATTTCTATTATTACATTCAAACTCTAATGGCTGTGTGTGTGTGTGTGAGAGAGAGAGAGAGAGAGAGGGAGAGAGGGAGGGGTAGGGGGAGAGAGAGAGAGGGAGGGAGGGAGAGAGAGAGAATGCTCAAATTAATAAGACTGTCGTAATATATCATATGTGATATAAAAATTGATTTAATAAATAAATTCTAATAAGAGGCCTCTGTCTCTATCTTATATTCATTTCTATTAATGTTAGTCTATTATTATTTTAAGTCTCGGTTTAACTTTTTATCTTCATCTTATTTGTAGGACTATAGAAAAAGTTGAACTAAGATTGATGTTTGTAGAAATATTAATGTCTCAAAATACATAGGAAAAATTAATGCAATTGTAACAAATGCTTTGTGTGAAGGTAAAATTGTGACTATGAATAGCTAGACAAAATATCGCATGTTGCTTGTAATAAAAAAAACACAATTGTGGCAGTGTACACAGAAATACTTGACCTCACAGGCATACGCCTGTCTTTTTTTTCTGTAGACAAAGCGAGGTTTAATGTTTCTCTTACTAAAGTAACAAATTCCGAATAATCTTGAGAGCTCAGCATGCTTGTGCATAATCTTGAGCTCATAGTGTGTCTTTTGCTCCGCCCAGTCTTTTGACATACGATCGAATAATTCTCTAAACTAAAAGAAAGTAGAATGGTAAATCACTCACAATGCATTTCAAAATAGTAAAAAAATCGATAGACATTTATATTTATTAAATCGCATTAATAAGCATTGTTGTAACATGTAATTCTAATTCTACAAGATTTATAAAGTTAACGTTGCATATTTTGGCTGACATAATTTTTCTCTTGTCATGCTTACTTTGTTTTACCTCTTATTATACATATACTCATAAAAATTATTTATGGCCACGATAAAGAAGGCATCGGCATTAATTAATAAAGTGACAAACCAGTTGTATTAATCCACAAGGAATTAAACTAGATAATGTCCTAGTAAAATTCAGTATTTGTGTATACAGGGTGAGTCGTAAATCTTGTCCCAACCTTTTACCATAAGAGGTGATTTACCAACCGCAACTGTAGCCAACTCGAAACAAAATGGATTAAATTTCGTTGCACATGTCTCAATCATGTAATATCTAATTATTTATCGAGAAATGTAATTACTGTTACAATGTCATGTAGGACGAAATTTTATCCATTTTGTCTCGAGTTGGGTACAGTTGTGATCGGTAAATCACCTCTTGTATGGTACAAGGTTGGGACACCCTTTACGACTAACCCGTATAATATTATTTATCTTTTAATATGTGTTATTTAAAAATGAGCGCAGCCTAGGTTTTTAATATTAGACTTAACATTCTATTTAAGTTATGAGAAACACAAATCGTGAGAATCTACGGATCTTACTTTGTCTATGTATATAAACCGCATGCCCAAGTTCATCAGGCTACCTAGTATAATTAAAAGTGTCGGTGCTGAATCCACTATATAGTCCATAGTGATGTCAGATAGAAATACGGCCGATACCTGGAAAGAAGTTCTTAATTCTTAATAAAAACGAAGAAATAATTTCATCTCGAGAAATAACTATCCGAGACACGTTCGATTCAGTATCTCGTGCGAATGAAACAGTGACGTATGATTTCTGAGCTTATATTCCATGTTTTATTTTAATACCGTATGATATTTTTGATCTTTTAGTTCGAAAATTGTCTAACAGTGAATTAAAAAGAAAATTTCTTAAATCGCAAGTACCTGAATATATACATCTGTTAATTCAACGACCGTGATAACAGCTCTCATTAAATGAGCGCTCCGTTTACTTTGATAAGGATTCAGTCCAGTAACCGATAGAAGAAATCGGCTCAGTTTATAGTACTCTTCAGGATGTTCCATTTGCTTCGAAGGTCATAAAAGAACTGTGTAAAAGCGAGCCTTCTGTCGCTTGATTATTATCATAGTTTCTCTTATTTCTAGATTCCCTCGAATATTTATATTTTGTTTTTCTTTCGCGACATTATCGTACAAATTACATCAAGGGAAAATACCTCGAATTATAATACGTCGAAGGGAAGCACTTCACGCGATAGCGTTAAGAATTTCTCAAAGGTGTCGGCAGTAATGATTGACAGGGCGCATACAATATGCACATAATAACATGGGAAAAAGACTGTCGGTGGGAGCTGCAAATTGCCCGTGGTCGTTTTTTTCCCACAAACAGTTTTTCACGCTCGCGCGTTTGTCTCACTACAATTCATCGGCACTTTTTGCCACTTTAGACCAATTTTTTGATTATTACGGAAAATATGAAGCAGAAATGACAAAAGGCGAAAACTCAAAGTAAAACAAGTTTTTGCGCGGTATTAACATACGTATTACAAGTTTTATACAATAGAATATATTGTTGACTAGATGCTCTTTTCTATAAAAAATGCGTTATCACAAGTAAGACGGATATAAGTAAATACAACGATGTATAGACTTGTATTGGAGAGGTGGCATGCACCTTTAATATTAAACAGAACGAATAAGAAAGAAACCATGGTTTTGTAAACTTAGTGTTCTATTTTTGTGCATCTATAAACTGAAAACATTACAATACAATCGAGTCGCTTGCGAGAAAGGGGTATATTGATCGGACATGGTGCGAACGCAGGAGTGAGATAGAGAACATTGACCACGTGGTACGGCAATGTAGCAAGTACGAAGTGGAGAGGGAAGAGATGGGCGAGGTGTAAACAGGGTTGGTAAACAGGGACATGTGAAGACACCGGTACGCTTATCAAGAGAGAGGACTGGACGAAGATAAGAGTCATATTTAATTTCATCGAGAAAATTGATAAAGTGATATAAAACGGCTCGAGAGTCTTTGGCGCCATAATCTGAAGGCAAAGTTGAAGGACCTTCACTACTTCACCAGCCAATTGGATTAACATAATCGAAAAGAGAAAGGATGGTTTGTGGCGTACGTTTGCATATATAATATATTGATTAGGTTAGATTGTGTTAATCTGCACACTTTATTTTTTTGTACCTTATAAATTAACTAATAAGAATATTCTTAAAGTCGCTAGTAGTAATTAATAAATTAATGACATCTGTGATTTTTGTCGACCGTGTCTGGCAATTAAAATTCTTATTGCGAAAAATATTACCCCAGCCAGGATTCGAACCTTGGACCTCCCTACAATCCGTGACGGGTATCTTAGCCAGCTCGACCACCGGGGCTGTGATAATACTATTCGCAATAACGTGTATATAACTTTAAGATGTTGTTTACGCGTCTATTTCGACTTTTTAGAAACTGTGCGTCGATACGGATTGTCGACCGCACAATAACCTGTCGATACGCGATTTTTAATTTTCCTCCGTTAGGGGGAATGGGATCAGGGGGAGGGAAGGGAAAAGGACCTTAATTGGCATTATTTTATGCTCGATATTTCGTTGGTTTATTGATTACCAGTATTTACCACAGTTAAAAACAAGGTTTATGTAGAAAACACGTTAGGGATCTTGTGCCTAACACAACGTCGAAATTAGGGTATATTCGGTTTTTTATATTACTTTTCTATTATTACATTATGAATTCTTTGAATTCTCAAAAATTCTGTTTAATAGAAATATTAATATATGACAGTTTGGGAAAAAAGTTTGGGAAATTCATCAATGATTCAATCATTTTTAAAAAATTCGGCATTCATTTACTTCGATGACACAATTATAAAATACACATCTTAAAATTAAAATTGTGATATTTATGCATACGCGCTCTTATGGTCTCGGCGTGTTCGGACATAATTTCGATCTTGCAATCTTTTGCAACTTCCACATACGTTTAAACAGATCCCAAAGCTAAAAATAAAATAACAATCTATAAGTAGCCAGTAATTCACGGTTTACAAAGTAACAAAATGGTTAGGTGTTCGAAGATAATAATTGAACGAGCACATTTAGTACTTATTGTTAGAGTCTATCAATCGGTGCGTTAACATGATCATAATAATCGGATTCAAATTCCGGAAGATTTACATACGATATATCCTTTATTTTCATTTTATCGCAAATATTTCGTCGCGTATAAAAATTATTCATAGCGTTGGCTGGAAAAATGACTAATTGAGATTTAATTAGGCATAATTAAGATAGAGGCTCGTCTGAATACATATAGATATATAAAATAATATGAAATTTATAAAAATAATTTTTTATGTAAACTTTTTATAATTCAACTGTTTATGTACTAAAGATGAACAACACATTTTGTTGAGATTGTATAAAGTTTATCAAGAATGTATCATGATACAATGTATAATGACCGGCCGAGCTTACTTTGTCTACATGTCTGACGCGTTCATACATGGCTCAAGCTACCTAATGTAGGTACAAGTGTTGGTATCGCATCGACTATGAAGTTCGCGATGAAGCTAGATGTGAAAATACTCGACAGCTGGAAACATATTATTGATCCTTGATAAGAGTAAAGGGATAAACATTCTCAGAGATTATTATGACATCTTGAAATCGTCAAGAGTTAAAAAATTTCGAAAATGATGGAACTATCAGACAGATATCTGTGTGACTATCTGTTAGATATTTTTGTTTTAAAATAAAAAGTTAATAAAATTAATGTCACCGTCTCGAATACTCCCAGAAATATTCTGCTGTTCTGAAAAGGATTTACATGCTTTGTGAATTGTTTTACCTTATTTTTTACACATCTCATGTGTCCTGTATATTAATTTATCTGTAAACCGCACCAGCAGACGCGTTTTTACGCAGAAGACTTTTCGATAACGTAAAAAGATCTGCACAGGTCTAACATTTCCACGAATTTTCTACGCTATTTCTACGTTTACTACTTGACAGAAATACGTTTTCAAAGTTGATTGAGAAACATGCAATAGGAGACCACTGCTTGAAGTATCTTCGAAAGAGATATATATGTATATGTATTTTCTCTTTTCCTCTGTCTCTCTCTCTCTTTCTCTCTATTTGTCGGTCGTTCTAATTCCCGTCAAATAAGGCGTACTTTATCTTACCATTTCGAAATTTTGCAAAGACATCACGTAAAATTTATAAGCAGTCAAGATAACCGGGTGACAGCGTCGCATCATTATTATTAACACTGCTTTTTGCTCCGAAACAACTGCATTGTACCATGTAGAGTTGAATCTGTAGAGTCAATTTTTTTCTTTTTATCTTAAAAACAATAAAATTGTCAAAGTAAAAGCAATCTCTAATCTCTCTTTTTCTTTCTGTCTTTAATAAACATTGTCAAGAGCAAATTTTGTTAATGTATTCATATTATCATTTCTAAAATTATAAGTTAAAACATGGTTAATTATAATATTTTACCTACGATACTTCGCATATTATTTCTCAAATTTACGTGATGCATAAGTTCTTAGTAATTTATTTGTAATTATCGCACATACGATTTTAGATGAATTATATGTGCGATAATTAAAAACTGCACAAATAAGTTCGGGGAAACCTTCCTCTTTTATATCCAATAAATTTTATTTCAATTTTCCTATTTTTTTGTCTTCGTCAGACAAAAGACATTTATTATAAGCATTTATAAGCATGTCGCATTTTGCTACGGAAGATACACTCTTAAATATATTATTAAAGAAATCTTTTTCGTATACTCACAATTTCTCACATATACCCGAACTCAGATCCGTAATCTTTTGTCCCATAAAACAAGATATAAATACATAAATCAGTGCTGCTATGGAGACACCGATAGATCTGACAGCTAGTTCGAAACTGGAAATAGTTAATACCTGAAAGACTTTGTTTTAACTCTTCCACAACATTTGAAAACGCTCGACTCATTTCCGTAATCAAAATACCTGAATTATCGTAATGCTCAATAATATCACTACTCCTACGATTTCCAACAGAAACGGTACCGTGTGACAAGTTTCGATTATACCAACGAATCTTGTGACGTGAAAAAAGTTATACGTGTTAAAATAATGAGGTAAATAATATCTTTTGCATGTAGAACAATTGAAATGTTTGTATAATTAATATGTACATGTACATTTAGAAATATGACGGTACTCAAAGTTTTAACTATAAGATGATTTTTATCGATAGAAAAGTAATAAAATTGATTTTTTTATGTATCATAATCGATTCGAATATAAATCTGTGGGGTCTTATACTTAAAGACGCAATATGAGAAATATCTATGAAAGTCTACAATTTCCGATTTATCTATCACATTATCTGTATATTTTCTGAGATAACTATTTAGTTATCATCATTGTTACCCTTAAATTTTCCTTCCAAAGCACAATGTTAATCTGCTTTGTTATGTATATTACTTGTGAACAATATTAATGCTTACACATTAGATATTGAGTAAATTAAATAAAAATACGAACTGTATAAGGTTGTAATGCTGCCGTACAAAAACGGCTATGTTTCTGTAATTTATTTGTGACTTATGTATTATCATTAAATCACGTGTTGCCTTGTCTTCGATAACACAAAATAAGCGTTCCGCGCGATACCTGCCGAAATTATCGCCAATTATTGTTATCATGCAATTAGTTTTGGATCTAATGATATTTGCGCAATGAGCAAAGAAAAAGATGAAATAACTGTTTATTATTCGTATGAAAAAAAATGTAGAAAAGAATTAACAAAACACAAATATAAAGACATGAGAGGAATACTATTTGTTTTAAATAACAAATGAGACGTGATATAACAGTCGAGGGTTGATAGATGCTCTGCTTTCAAGTAAACCAATTGTAAGAGACGTCTGCTGTTTTGCAAATAATATTAAATCGCGCTAGGAATAATTCCTTACCCCAGCAACTTGCACATTCCGCAAGCGTGTTGCGCGAGTGTCAGAAATACAACGAAACAGGCGACATAAACCACAGGTACAATGGTAATCGCAAGACACGTATGGGTTCGCATCAGATAAAAGTATCGCTCGCCAAAGATGTGAGTATTAAAGGGTTGCACCCGCGGGCGAGATTCGTTCATAGGCGATATAATGTCGAGAATTTCCGGTGTGAAGATCCATGTGGTGTATCCCCACATAACTACCAACGCCAGGACTAAAACATTCGGTAATCATAAGTTTATTAATAAATTTTTGATAACAAAGCTGTACGTGCGCGTGTGTATAAAAGCAATGAAGTATGAATGCAATGATGTAGTAGATATTAGTTGTCTACAAACGTGCTGTACGGTGGATATTTTTCACAAGTATATTACAAAAGTTATAAGAATAAAGATAGTTATCGAACATATATCAAAAATAAAACTCAATTTTCACTATACATAAGTATTATTTCTATTATTACATTCAAACTCTAATGGCTGTGAGAGAGAGGGAGAGAGAGAGAGAGAGAGAGAGAGAGAGAGAGAGAGAGAGAGAGAGAGAGAGAGAGAGAGAGAGAGAGAGAGAGAGAGAGAGAGAGAGAGGAGGAGGAGGAGGAGGAGGAGAGAGGAGAGAG